ACGGCGAAAAAATCATTTGACTGCAAGTTCGATCTGAAGCGGAATTCTTTGCTTTAAAACAGAACCCTGGATCGCAAATGGAGACGAATCTAGTCGAAGTTTAGGTTGCTCCAGTAAAAATTTCGACTAAACTCATAAAGCACACAAAAACTGCAACCAACTATTTTGAGGTTGCAGTAAGGGAGGAGCTGGACAACACTACCCGGTTCCCTTTTGCCTAGCCTCGCACGCCTCTCTCGACAACAAAAGGCCATCTCACATGCTGCAAGGCGGAAACTCGGCTAGTCGCCAACGTGTTAAGCGGGTAAAATGTTAAAAGCTAACCAAGTCGAACATGTGAGAAATATTCAGACCAAAAGTGGAACTTATCCACTGGGGAAACCACACCGGTCACGAGTATCTATAATCAGGAAAACTATCAATAAGCATATAAACGTGTACAAATTTTACGTTACACATTTTCCAAGAGAGCCTTATTAATATTCTCGAAAATTCAATGACTCAGCTTCCCTGAACTAAACAAATCAGAGGCCATAAAAAAACAGTAACCCGCCGAGTATGGCTCACAATAAACTTCTGCATAGCAGTAGTGTACACTCCTTACCCTGGAGATGGAGAGGGTGTAGCTATGTTTTCAATTAGGACGCGCTTTTGATGGAATATATTTCGATACAAATGTGATCATTTCGTTGAATCAGAGAAGTAAAACATGACTTATCTCAAATGAAAATATCCCGCGAAAGAAAAAGTTCATGTTACACTATGTTCAAGGGAAAACGAAACCTCGTCCTATCCAACTCCGGGATATGATTTGTGGAACGACTTGATGTTGGCAGATCACTTTATTGCCTTATGTACGTTCCACATGAAACATCTTTATCAAAGCCTGAAAAAAGACAGAAAAAGCACTTGAATGCAAAGCAAGGGTTAAGGCCCTATAGGGATCGCGAATAAAGATCAGTTCAATTCGGTGCAACAGGCAGTTCCTGTTGAAAAAGATCAGACCGGGCTGCATTAGTGGGCAAACAGTCTTCTTCATGACTGGGCGATGACCTCTTTTTCGTATCGTACTTGGAGTATGTGACAAGACAATCGCAATTCGCCGTGCAGTTGAAAGTCGCGGGCGACATCGCGCCGCCAGTGGCGACGTTTCAAGGTCATAGATGGCGACAAGAGACAATGTTGAAATTCGGTGCTCCATTCGACGGCTAATGCAAATAAGGAAAAGGCCGTGTGAGTGAGATTGCCTGGACGGTCCCTCGAACTTCAGTAGGGTAGCAGTTTGAGCGAAAAGTCACAAACTGCTCGGTCATTCGAGGGTGATGAAGAAGCTTCCGCCGAAACGTACGTAAGCCAATGGAAAGACCTGCCAACCTCGCCAGATTTCAGCAAAGAAAACGGACACAACAGTGAAACTTGGATTTTCCTTTTCATTGACGAAACGAAAGCACCAAAAAGTACGAAAGCAAGAAAAAGCCTGTGCGTTGCATAAAGATGCCAATGAAACCTGAAATTTCTGCTCGTTTACACGAGGCTCGAACAAAGCAGGCATTCTTCGGAACTTGAAAATCACTCTGTTGCTCTTCATATCTACGTCATCCCACTCGATTACATCACCAAATGACAACGGACGCTCTGCCCTACGTCTGCAAAGAGGATCCTATAGAATGCTGCTTCCATGGAGAACTTGTTTCAAAAGACGAACTTCTGATTTTTCACGAATGCCAGATCTAGAGTTCCGTTAGCTTCAAATCGAAAAGCGGCATCGGCCACGCTAGCAAGTACATGTCGACAGTCATTCTAAAGAAAAATATAGCTT